GAGGTCATCTGGCAGGCTGTCTGTGGAGCTGATGATGCTGGTGGTGGTCCTGTAGTCTGTGATGTGCTGCAGGCCTTGCCACATCCATCTGGAGTCAGCAGTAGAATAGAAGCCATTCAGCTTCTCTCTGTACTGCCTCTTGGCTGCTGTGATGGCTTTCCTCAGTCTGTACTTCACAGCTTTGTACTTCATCTCATCACCTGATCTGAATGCATGAGAGCGAGCACGCAGCATGTGGCGTATCTGACTGTTTATCCAGGGCTTCTGGTTGGGGAACCTCCTGACCTGTATGGTGGGCACAGTGTTGTCAATACAGGTACTAATGTACCAGGTCACATACTCGGCATAATCCTGTACGCTGACAGAAAAGTCCACCAAGGTGGCTGCAGCTTTAAACATCATAGAGTTTGCTGAGAGCTGTTGAGGGATTAGCTCTTGGGCTAACATACACAGTAGCTAGAAACAGCACTATGCTCTCTTGCTAGATAGTAGGGCCAGAATTTCAGCAATAAAAACTCTACATCTGGCGAGTAGTGCTTATAACCAGTCCGTACATCTCCACACCACGAGGTATTGATAAACACACACACACACATCGACTCCTTTTACCTTCCCCGAAGCAGCAGTGCGGTCTCCCTGATGTACAGATTTGGTCTCTAGCTGAATCGCGGAGTCTGGGACTCTGTCAGAAAGCCAAGTCTCGGTGAGAATTAGAGCACAGCATTCTCTGATTTCCTGTTCTGTTGTAATCCTAGCCCTTAGTTCGTCCAGTTTTCCAGGGACTGTACATTAGCTAGTAAGAGGCTGGGTAGTGGCGGTCACGTAGCGTGAACTTTTAGCTTAGCATTGAGTCCTTCTTGCTTGCCCTGCTTGCGTCTCTGTCTCTGGGTTGCTCTCCTGATTTCAGCCTGCTCGCTTGTGCTTGGTGCTCTGGGGGCTCCCCGAGGGCGATGGTGGCTGTCCTCGCCATTGTTGTTATTTTCGCCGGAGTGGACAATGGGTTGTAGCTCCAGTGGTATGAAACCAGTAAATTCCCAGTGGCTGTGTGAGATATCCAACAATGCCTGTCTGTTGTATGTTGGCAGTGAAGGGCATTTGTGCACTGCAGAAAGAGTAAAAAAAAACACACAAAAACGAAGAAAACGAAGAAAAAGCCGGCATTAGAGAGTGGAACGTGCAAACACGTCCGCCGCGGTGGGCGCCATCTTGCAATCCACCCCACTTTGTGGCTGTATGCCTCTGCCAACCAGTCCATACCACAGGAATGGTACAGATGTGAGGGGTCCTTGAGTTTTGCCTTTTGACCACTAAAGTCTAATCAGTTAATCTCTGAGTCCAAATGGACATTTGTGCTAAATTTGAAGAAATTCTCTCAAGGTGTCCCTGAGGTATCATGTTCACAAGAATGAGACGGACAGACGGCCTGAAAACATAATGCCTCCAGCATTAAAGAATCATGGAGTGGAATAACAGCTGAAAGGTGCCACAAGTTGGTTGACTCCATGCCACACAGATGTGAAGCAGTTATAAAAAACTGTGGTCATACAACTAAATATTAGTTTAGTGATTCACAGGATTGCTAAATCCTAGAAACAAAAACGTTTGTACAAAATAGTTTTGTGTTTGTACAGTCAACGGCAGACACTGCTATTTTTTTTAACACACCCCTTTCAACTAATTGCCCAATTGCACAGCCTTAAGAGCGTGCATATCATGAATGCTGGGGCTTGTTTGCTTTCTGAGAATCTACTGCACCTACTGGTAACTTGTTTGCCATGTAGCAATAAAAAATATACTAAAAACCTGGATTATTCTGGTTAGTCACATTGTACTGCTATTATTTTGAACAATACTGTATATGGATAGACATGCATATAAACTGTAGCTTGACTGGTTGGCGAAGGCTTACAACAATTCAGGTTCTGATTGCAATGAAAAATAAAACCATCCACTGCCAGAATTCAAATGTATCTCTTTTAATGACTGAAATAAATCATTTATATTTGGAAAAAAGTAGTTGTCGTTCTTTAGCTCTTTGGGATGTAAGGCTGTCGTTTAAGCTAAAAGTGAGATACATTTAGCTTATTTCCTCTTTTTTAGAGTGAGTAGGTGTGATCTGAGTGGAAAGGGATGCAATCCGAATTGAGCACTGAGCGATAATGAGCGCAGCGTTCTGGTGCGGCTTTGAGCGGCGGAGCTTAGAGGGCGAACAGCTCTGTGAGCAAGGAATGGAAATTCTCACTCTGCTCATATGCTCTGCTACAGACTGACAGCTGATCCCGCTGTGCCACTGTCAACAGAAGCTCATACTGCTTCAGATAACAGCTCAGAAGTACAGTGCACACATAGCAGTCCTCCAAAGATAGTACTGGTGAAATTCATTTTCTTATTTTCAACTTTGATTGCAGTGTGTTTTGCCAGTTTAATAAGTTGATATGTTTGACCTCAAATTACAGCTAGGCCTGTGTGAATGTAACACAAAACGTCATATGTAAAATTCAACAACTCAGTTTTAATGAAATAAAAATATACAGTATACCTTTATAACCTTTCAGTTTAAAAAAAAATATATATTTTAGGAACTCCATTATTGAGTTTGCAAAGGCTGATTTTTTTAACTGAGAAGTGTTGGATGACTGTGCAAGACACAGATGCATTGTGGGTCGGGCTTGGGTATGCTTCAGGCTCGTATTGTGATCAGTGTTGGAGCGAGGTTTAGGGCTACACTCTGTCCCTTTTAAAGAAGCCGCTCTGCGCTCTGTCCACAGTCCGCCCGCTCCTGCTCACCGCTCAGTCTCTCTCCGCTGCTCACATCACATGCTCTGGTCTGTAGAGGACTGCCACCTGCAGTTGTGTAGTGATCCTCCAACATGACAAAATGGAATGTGAAATATTTCTGCATGTTGCCTTTTAAACACACAGTTTGACAGCATCTGCACATAAAACATAATTTGCATACTGATCCAGAATCAGAAGACAAATAAAATCTAGTGGTGATATTACACCAGTTGAATCTGTTATTTATCCTGGTATAAAACTGCCAGTCAGCAGCAGCTGCTTAATGTGTTTTCTGCTGTGGGAAAGTCCACAGTGTCTCTATACTCATAACAACGGTTTGGCTAACTTATGAGCTGTATTCATACCTAAGATTAAATTATAAATATGACAAAATTAGTGAATCTGACTAGTTGTATATGCCACTAAAGAACAAATCAGTGCTCTCTGGGAATGCCTAAATAATCAGTGTATTGTTTGTCCTGCTCTGCACATTTGAATTGCAGTCTGTATGGGGTGCTGGTAGGGCATTGAACCTTTTGTCTAGTCTTAACTCTAAAGGAATGCACGTGCCACCATATGTTCTGATCAGGAGTGTTGGAGAGGCTGGTTCTGAGTGTGGAGCAGCAACAGCGTCAGATGACCTCCACAGGTTTGTTGGAGGTCTGCTCCCTGTCTGAGGGTGAGGAGCCAGCAGACGGAGTCCACCTGGCCCATGAGGAGCTGCAGCAGCTCAGAAGCAGGGCCCAGCTCTGGCCCCTGATGGAACAACTGGCTGTACTCAACCAGCTTAGACTCACCACTGACCTGCTGCAGCTGGCTCTGTCTCCTGGGTAAAACAAAAACATTTAATAGTGACTGATGTCAACCCATTCGACTGTTTATTCAGCTCTTCTTGTTGATATACAGTGATCAAGAGGCAGAGGACAGCTTACGTCGGGAGCTCTCCAGGCATCTTCGTTACTGCCTCCAGTCCACACCAATGAACGTCAGTCAGCTCCAGCCACTGTCCTTTCTGCTCAGCAGTGACAGGGTTAGTAGATCTAGAATTTCCTGTAATTCTTCAAATTGATAATACCATTTGTATATGTATGTATACCTGAGGACATCATTTATTATAAAATAATGCAAAAGCAATACAGAAACAAAGCAATTACAAGTTTGACAGGTATTGAAATACTTGGTCTTTCAAATGAGCAAACAAGCTAAAATACCTGAGAATAGACTTAAAAATAAGACACCATTATTGAAAACTACTAATATAAATAATGCTGTTAATGATTCCTCTGTCTTGTAGCCAGCAGAGGAGCTGCAGTTTGTGTGGTGTGAGCTGTTGTCAGAGGCTCTGGCAGCCTTGTGGAATAGCAGTGTGACCTCAGACCCAGACCGCTGGCTCAAATGGGACCCACTGAATCCTGAGACCCAGCAAGGTCCAAAGCTGCCCCATGGAGCAGATCATATGGTACTGCCCTAAACATATCCTGTTTATGTCAAGGAGTTTCAGTCAGTCCACTGATTAACAAACAAAATTAATTTCCCACTGGATTTCTAAACATTTACTGACCAGTGTCCATGTTGTTTGCAGGGTCCAGCCTTGTTGACTAAAGCAGTGTGGTCACGTTGCATGTTTGGAGTACTCAGCAGTGGTGTGACCGGAGATCTCCAGGAGCCATCAGGAACCACCCTTCTCTCCCTCTCCCATGTCATCCTGGGCGAGTGGAAGGAGAGAATGCAACAGCTGCAGGATTTGTCTGCAGTGCTTTGGGATAATATGGCCATCCCTGCACTGGCTGAATTCAGGTAGATTAGAAGGAGCATACATGCACAGTCCTTGGTCCTTTTGGAGCATTCATTGTGTCAAAAAAAATATAAAAAAAAACCATACATGGGTTTATCATTTCTGGGTTTGGTAATCACCCCACATCTCCTCAGGGGCACAGACTTCAGACTGCAGGGCGTTGTTCTGCGTCGGCAGCTTCAGAGCATGGCTGACCTACTGCCTCCTAGCCTGCAGGAGGGCTACATGGAGAGTTGTGAGAGCCTTGTGGATGATCCTGACCCTCTGATAGCTGCCCAGGAGATCCAGACAGTCTTGAGAGACTTCCTTCCTCCCAACCTGCTGCCTGACAGCCTGGTGGAGTCCTGTATCACCTGCCTGCAGCAGTACGTGCAAAGCAAGGTTCAAGGCTCCATCTCGCTGGCCCGTTCTGGAGTGTTCTGGGTCAACATAGGCTTGCTGCAGATCAAAGTGTGGGCACCGCAGACCATCTTTGACCCAGCTGTGAAGAGGGCCTACAAACTCAACTATGCTCAGCAAGAGGTCAGCAACTGGTTGTTTTTTTGGTGCTTTTAATCCTTTTGTTCTTTTGTCACAGAAGAATTGAATATCTGTCAAGCAAAACCACAAATGTGCTTTGAATCTGTACAGCATGTGCACAGTATTCAGTCAGTCTAGCAGAATTTTATTTTTATTTTTTTTAATGAAGCATGACAAATCAAAAATTAGTTGCCACCTTTGAGGTGATAGAAAGTTTTAACACAGTCACTTTGCATAACCAAATAATTTTGATGTGAAACCCTTTTTTTTTATTGTGACCAAGATGAGACATTATATAGCTGAAAAAAAGTAGACTGCAATCAGAAAGCGCAAACCTCCACCAAGGAGGTTCACGATCCCCATAATACCTTTCCACCTATAAGCAGTGATAGTCTGTTCAGTCTATAGTCAATAATCTAGTCATGATAGTCTGACCCTCGTATGATTTTGTATGAAAACATACCACTGGCATTTGGGATCACGTCGATATCCTCATTAATTTGGAAAGTTATTCAAGAACATTTCAGTAATGGCAGTTTTCTTCAGGATCTAGCTCAGTAACTTTTGAAGATGGATCAAATCTGTTCACACCTTACTGAGGCTGCAACATTTCAGCTAGAATTTTATCATGGTTGCAAGTCTATAACATTATTTGTTGACTCACAGTAGTGAGTTTTCCATGTGACCTCTAAATATGAACATTTTGGATCAGCAGATTTAGAATATTACTTGGATCCAGATCACACTTCAGTGTGTGGTAGATCTTATGTGGGTGTTATCTTGCAGTTTTTGTTCAAGCATTGTAGGCATTATATATGGAGCAAAAAACTGCAAAAATACTGAAATTAGCCCCAGCTCACTATGGCAGAGAAGCTTTAAAAAATTCCTGGATTCCTAACTCTCCGAATATATTCATCAAAAACCATTCGTTACCTTTTGAGTGTAGGCTGTAGACAAACAAAGCAGCCATCACCAGTAAAGACATTACATCCTTGGTGGAAGTAATAAACTAGTCAGTTCTCTCTGGTGGACAAATGTGCTACTGTTTTTTAATTATCTCAAACCTGCTTTGGCATTTCTGTGCTGCAGTTTCTTGTTACTTAACAGCTGACAAATACACAGACATTGATATCTGCAGTCAGCTAATATTAGCTGATACACCAGCCTGGCTGATTTACTCACCCAGCTCTAATTTCTACAACACAAGTCAAGAAGAACGTCCCATCCTGCCTTTAGAAATGTTTACCTCTTTAGCATTTTATGTGATGCTGTATATGCAAGTAGACCATTACTGGTTGGTGGTTAAAGATGGAAGTACTTTCAACTGATGATTGGATTGGCATCCTCTTCTGTGTTTTGTGCAGCTGGCCCTGCTACAGGAGGAGTGGAGAGGTCGCAGCCTGTCATCTCAGCTGATGACCGGAGCCGAGCTGGAGGAGAGTAGCACCACTGATGGCTTCCAGCATCCTCGAATCAGGTCAGAGCCAACCACATGCTGTCAGTGTGTCATATTTCAACTAATGGGAGAATACAATTCAAAAATGACCACAGTTCAGTAGTGTTAATAGTATTAGGGGATGTCAGTAAGTTTGTCTCCAATAAATATTGATTCCAAATTCTAAAAGTCTAGAAGCACTTAACTTTCTTGACCCTGAGAACTCTAAACAGTGACCGACAAAGACTTAATGAAGCGATGCTGCACATTCTACAGTATGTACCCTCAAAACCAGCAAAAGGAAGCAAATAATTCAAATCCACTATAAAACGAAAGGTTTAAATTTGTTTTTATTTTTATAGGAACCAGAGGAAAAACATTTTTAACAAATTTTAATTCAAATGGACACTACAGTATATGATTAAAAATGTTAAAATAAAAAATGTAAGATGTCACTCATATTCAGTGTGGACCATAAATAAGTGAGATGGGCTTGTCCGTGTGTGTCCAGAGTAGAGATTGAGGACAGAGGACATGTACCACAGACCTAGAGACTCTTGTTATCAGTTGCAAACCTTTTTACTCTCCCTGTGAATTTAACAGTTTCATGCTAATGTGAGTGTACATAAAACCACAGGCCAACAGTAGTGCACTACGGCTCCTGGCAGAACAGATAACTAGCCTGGAGCTAGAACATCCCGACTCTCCACTCATTGTTCTAGGGGACTTTAACAGAGCAAATCTCACCCACGAACTGCCCAAATACAGACAGCACGTCACCTGTTGCTGACAGTCATCAACTCTTCTCTCTAGTTATCCTTGACCAGATGTACCCTGTAGAAACTCATATGCATGACTAAGCATTTAACAGCCTGAGCTAGACATCCTGTCTACACTAAACATTTCTAATACATCAAGTATCTAACCAATATCTATCTAACTAAAAATACCTAACACTGTGAAGCCTCTAGTCAAAACAGTGAAGAGTTGGACTGAGGAGGCTAAGTCAGAGCTACAGGCCTGGATGAACTCACTGACACTGTCATATCTTATATCAGTTTCTGTGAGGATGCGTGTGTGCCCAAAAAGACCTTCTGCATGTCGTTGGGAGAATCAATACACAGGGAAAATCACTGCAGTGCCAATTATCATTTATTGAACAATATTATTGATTTATGATTGAGAGGACAAGAAACAGGATCACCTGTATCAGTCTGAGTCTCGGCAGAGGAGGTCAGGCCGTCAACCACCAGTCTAGTCTATTTCTCGGATCTACACACACGCGCCCCTGATTAACTCTGTTGCTAACTATGTTGCAATTTCTCACTTCCTGTTATTAATAATAATAATAATAATAAATATAAACTTTATTTATATAGGACTTTACAACTCCGAAGAGCACAAAGTGCTTCACAGTGGAACATATGTATCAACTAAAAAATACTAAAACAATCAATCCAAAAACACAGGTTTATAAAATCCTAGCAATAAAAAGTTTCATCAAAATAAAATAGTATAAAACAACAAGTTAAACCATGTCCCTTTGAGGCAGATAAAATAGATTCAACACCAAAAACCTGTTTTAAAAGGTGAGTTTTTAAAGTAGACTTAAAAACCGCTAGCTCGGTTATAGACCAAATCTCAGGTGGTAATGAACTCCAGAGTCTAGGACCATAGACGGCAAACGAACGGTCGCCCCATTTTTTGGATCGGGCCCACGGGATAACTAAGGAAAAGTGCTCAGCGGAGTGCAGGGTTTGGCACGGAGCATAGATAAATAGCAGCTCCGACATGTATGGTGGGGCGAGGCCATGTATGACTTTAAAGACAAATAGCAACATCTTAGAATCAACTCTCCATTGTACTGGCAGCCAATGTTGTGAAAAAAGAACAGGGGTAATGTGGGCATACCTGGGAGTGTTCAGCAACAGCCGAGCAGCCGTGTTTTGAACCAGTTGAAGTTTCCTCAGCACTCAGACTGAGAAACACTATCGTACAGGGCATTGCAATAGTCTAATCGTGAAGTAATAAAAGCGTGGACTGCTGGTCTCCACGGGATAAGAAAGGCTTATTATTATTATTATTAGGGTTATTGTCCACCCTGGCGTCCACCCTTAGTCACTCTTCTCTTATTCGGGGAACCCCCCCCCAGCAAACTGTACAAAATAACCGGAAGCCTGGCGCCTGGACTGCTTGCAGAGATTAGTACAAAGGAACAAAAAGCTGTTCACCTCACCCTAACAGAGTTTATTCTATACTACATGTTGTACATTAACTATTAACTATATTCTGATTATATCCTGTTTGCTTTAACCACTACATGCACATACAACAACAACAACAACAAGCCCTGGTTCACAGGTGTGGGGAACACACTGACAAAGGCGATTAAAGCAGCAAAGAGGAGCTGCGCTGAAAAGCTGAAAGCTCAGGTTTCATCCTATGACCCCTCGTCTGTGTGGAGGAGCCTGAAAAGCATCACTGGCTATAGGAAACCAACACCATCATCCCGGACATCCTCCACTCCAAACTGACCCAGCTCACTGTGCCTGCCCCCACCTGTCAGTGGATTACTAGCTTTCTGACAGACAGGAAGCAGCAGGTGAGGCTGGGGAAAACTACATCTGGCACTCGGACAATAAGGATGTGTGCTCTCTCCTCTGCTGTTTTCACTCTACACCAACAAAAAATTTCATCGGAGACGATGACGAGTCAGCCTACAGATGAGAGGTTGAGCAGCTGGTCCTGTGGTGTAGCTGCAACAACCTGGAATTGAACACGCTCAAAACAGTGGAGATGACAGTGGACTTCAGGAAATGCCCCCCCACCTTACCCCCACTTACCATACTTGGCAGCACTGTATTAGCAGTAAAGTTCTACAAGGTCCTGGGCTCCACTATCTCCCAGGACCTGAAGTGGATGTCAGGAATCAGGACCATCACCAAGAAGGCACAGCAGAGAATGTATTTCCTGCACCAGCTCAGGAAGTTCGACCTGCCCCAGGAGCTGCTGATACAGTTCTACAGAGGAATGTACCAGAGTCAAATTCCTCATGTGTCCAACACACCTGGCCAGTAAAGCAGATTCTGATTCTAATTGGTCTAAGTGTCTAATATCAGTGGTGAACACAGACTAGAACCAACTAAAGGGCTGTGGGACTAACTAGTGTACCTTAAAACACTGGTAGCTTGCTTGGTGCAAGCTGCTAACATTTATCATTGCCAGCTTTGTTTTGGTGTAGTTTTATAAAGAAAGTTAGCTGAGGTCCCTTCTTAGGCTGACTCCAGTGTGACTAGAGAGAGACCTCAGTAATCTTTTACAGCATATTTACACCGGGTATATAAGAGCAATAATTACAATGACCCAAAGCTCTTTCAGTGTGCTTGTGGCATGTGATTAATATATTAAGACAGAGGTCTGAAAATTCGTACCTCTCCTTTAACCACTGACCCATCCACCTTGTGCTTGTAGGTACCTGTGGATCCGTATGCAGCAGATGAAGGAGCAGATAGCTGAGCTATCCAGGAAACAGGCCTGTCGTCCCCATGAGCCTCAGTATGGTCGTCTCTTTCAGGAGCTCCAGCAGTACCTCTGCAGCATTGGCCAAGCGTCTGCAGTGCAAGACCTGCTGTCCCACCTGCTGAAAGCCCTGCAGGGCTCCTCCTCCAAGTCCAGGTCAGCAGTTCAGGGTCTGCTGAAGGAGGAGGCAGTGTGGCAGAACTCCCAACAGCGCTTCTGTCAGAGGCTGCTGGAGGACTATCCCCTGTATCCTGATGTGGTTGGGCCAGTGCGAACTGGCATACTCCAGCTCAGGCACGGCATGAGGCTGGTGGCCTCCCAGGTGGCCGCGTTGCTCACACCTGTACCAGGTCTGTCTAAGCTGTTGTCCTGCCTGCTGGCCTTCCCCTCCTTGTCCCCTAGCCTACCGACGTATCTGGCCCAGGCAGACTTCCTCTGCTCCAGGACTTGTATGGACATTCTCCGCTGCCTGGTCAAGCTTCTGCCCCCAAAGGACCCTGAGAATGTGGTCCCCCAGTCCTCTACCCTGCTTCTCAGTGCTCTGTTGCATCTGCAGTGCCACACCTTGTCAACAGGAGAGTTCAGCTACGAGGCACGCACCCTCGTCAGACACATCTGTCAGGTCAGAACTTAGATTTTTGTGTCAAACATCTGACTGTTCTGATCTGATGTGTGAGATGTTAAAATCAGAATAGGTTTCTATTCAACGTGTTAAAACATTTGCCATACTGTTGCTGTGATGCTCCTCAGGCTCTGGTGAATGAGTGGGATGAGCAGGAGAGGCAGAGGAGAGAGCAAGAGCAGCAGGAGGCCAGTCTGTACCGCAGTCGACTGCATGGCTCAGGGCTGACTGAGGATGAGCAGGAGGAGAAGGATTTCAGATGCCTTTTCCCTGAGTTCAACCAGGTATCCACATAGGATTCCTACAGTACGAGGAACTGGTCTCTTTTTATTCTCATGAGTCTCCGGAAAGGGAAGAGCTAATCTTCTGGGGAGTTTAGCTAATGACATTTTTATGTACAAGTAGATAAAATTGGTTAGATGGTTGCACATGATGAAAGTCCAGGTTTCACGAAAATATTTAAGATGAGATCTCTCAGGACTATGAATAGAGGTTTGACTTGCCGTTATCTAGATAAGACCAAAGACTGGACAGACATGTCCACCTTGACACCCTGCAACTAGCTGCTTAGACACAAAGCATGCTAACAGGTCCTTACTGTATATCTGTCTCTGTTCACTGTTTATGTCCATACTATCTATCAGGACTTTGCAGACATTGTGTCCCAGCCAAGCCTGGAGAGTCCAGCAGATTCCAACAGAGCCCAGGAAGAGTCCAGTGGCAGCGCCTTCCCATCAGCACCTGTGCCTGGGATATGCCCAATCACTGTGGTACCAGGGCATTGTGCCAGCCAATTGCACCAAAGAAACTATCGACGCCTTGGTCTCCTCCTATCAGATTGCTGCCCCTGTGATGTCACACTTCTATCATCTGATTGGTTAGTATTTTTGTTTGGTGTCACTTATACAGTGTATGCACCAGAAACATTATCAAGTGCTTTTTAGCAGCCACGTAGACATGATTTTAAAATGGAAACTGGTTTACGTCTTCCTTTGTTTCCTCCTTAGATGCTGAACTGGACCAGCAGCTGACAGGCAGTGAACTGCTGCTCTCTACCCTCATCCAGAACACAGTGCAGGGTTCAAGAGGTCCTGATGGTCTGGCTGTCACACCAGAAGGCTCTTATGACTTCTATCAGCAGCCCAACATGAGCGAGGCCCGCCTCTGTCTCCCTGTCCTGGAGCAGCTGAGTGTGGCAGTGAAGCAAAGACTAGACGACTGGCCGGAACACCCTATACTCATACAGGTCAGTTAGGCTTTTATACCGAGGCTCACAGTGAGCAAACAAGAAGGGGTTCATTATCAAAACCCAAGGAATTTAACAGTAAGCAAGGTCTCTTGGGCAAGCTACTAAGGTAGCACTCTCTTTTAATATCAGTGGTTTTCAAGTTCACCAATGCTTAATGGTAGCATTGGATTTACACAATTTCTCCACTGATGGCATAAAATGAATTGATTGGTCAAACATTAAATTGGCCAGAACAGCCAAAAATGGGCATTTCCAACTGATAATCATGACTTTGATCTATGAACATTTTCTTACAGAATTTCAGGAAAAATCCCACATCACTATATGTATAAATATCATAACAAAGTATATGTATAATTATGGAACCTTTGCCCATATCACCCTCCGCTGCTCCCCAGTCCATTGTCCTACTAGACCTCAAATATTTTGTTGAAATAAATAATTGCTTAAAAATCTGTAATTGGACTGAAATTGAGATGATGTCACACACATTGAGCTCATAATTTAATGTTCTCATTTGTACCAACCTTGGGGCCACTTGGGTGCAGCACAACCAGCTGTAAATACAGTATCTGAACTGCTATCATGTGTTTTCTGATTTACACAATCAGCATAAAAGTTCCATATTCCCCCTACCTTTAGCACTGTTTTGGTCTGAGGAAAAACTCCTGAGGAAAAAAACTGATCTGGTAAATGCTCCACTGTGTTGACTAACTAGTTGCTCACCCAACCTGTTTGATTCTGGGAAGGTAGATAAACAGTGTATTTAACTGAAAACAGAGCAAAGTCAGCTATTGTAAAACCAGAACAGTGAGCTGAAAGTAAAGCTGAGGGGGGCTGTAGAAGGTGGTGACAACTCTCTGTAACTTCACCACTACAAACAACATTACATTGTTATTTGATCCACTTTTTGATAAACTTGTGAGATGAGTTAAGTGATTTCCTCTTAATTTACATAACTGTGGATTCACTTGAAGCAACAATGAGACCTCCTGTGGAAACAGTTACTGGAGTTGTTTAAAAGTGTGACTGATATTTGATTTGAAGTATTTGCAGTCCTCTCCTTCGGTTTCTTTGGTAGACATTCTGGTAGAAGGTAGATGGAAAACTTACTTGTATTCTTGTATTGGAATACCTACTGGCATCATATCTACCAGATTGGCCGTGGAAATTTTGGTTGTTTGATCCATCCATACATTCATCCATCCATCTTCGTCCACTTCATCCGAGACCGGGTCGCGGGGGCTGTAGCCTGAGCGTCGCCTCCCAGATGTCCCTCTCCCCACACACCTCCTCTAGCTCCTCAGGAGGAACCCCAAGGCGGTCCCAGGCTAGCCGGGAGACATAGTCTCTCCAATGTGTCCTGGGTCTGCCCTGAGGCCTTCTCCCAGAGGGACATGCCCAGAATACCTCCCCAGGGAGGTGTCCAGGGGGCATCCTAAACAGGTGCCCGAGCCACCTCAACTGGTTCTGCTCAACATGGAGGAGCAGCAGCTCTACTCTGAGCTTCGTACGGGTGACTGAGCTCCACACTCCATCCCTAAGGGTGCACCCAGCCACTTTCTGGAGGAAACTCATTTCTACCACTTATATCCACAATCTCATTCTTTCGGTCATGATCCAAAGTTCATGGCCATAGGTGAGGGTAGGAACATAGCTTGACTGGTAAATTGAGAGCTTTGCCTTACGACTCAGCTCCTACTTCACCACAACAGACCAGTGCAACGTCCGCATTGCTGCGGATGCCGCACCAATCTGTCTCTCAACCTGCTGCTCCATTTTTCCCCTCACTCGTGATATTCATTAAAATTGTGGTATCATGCATCCCTAATGGTACAATGAATTTACCTTGTTGTGTGAGAGATTCCTAATAAAAGGCTCAAAGTTTAAATCACTGACATCATTTGACAGTGGTATCTACTGTAGAAGTGTAAAATGATATCTGTACACAGAGTGGACAAGTGGTAAATTTGTGTGGCTGGTACAGTAATTGCTAGAACTGGTTCTGTGGTCTGTAGACAGCGGACATAATCTCCTGCTCTAAATACATCTGTCACTGTCGTATGGACTCCAGATCAGTTATGATAGCTAAAGTTGCTATCAAGTGTAATCCTGTATGTGTGTGTTGTGCTTCAGCTGACTGTGGTGATGGAGAGGATACAGGCTTTCAGTCTGGCTAGTCCACTCGCCAAATTCCTCAATGGTCTGGAGATCCTGCTCAGTAAAGCACAGGTGAGCTCTGTTGGCAAGATGCTTCATGTGTCATTCATGATTACAGTAGTGTATTTTAGAGTTGCACGCAATGTTGATACTTTTAACAAAGTTTCATATCCGTGACAATTTTCATTTTAACAGCTGACACAATTTATCAGGTCGAATACTGAAAAGTTGAACAGAGGCTTTGTGTTTCTTGTTGTCACCTCTGTTCTCTACTGCTGTCTCCAGGATTGGGAGAATAATGCCAGTCGTTCAGTCTCGCTGAAGAAGGAACTGGAGCCAGTCACCCAACTCATTATCCAGTGGCGCAAACTGGAGCTCAAGTAAGGCTACATTTACATTACAGACCTTATTGCTCAATTACAATATTTTTGTCAGATTTGGTCTTTTTGTGTTGATGGTTCACATTCACGTTTTTAAATGGCATCACGCTCTGATTTGAACACTGAAGGTCCTGTTATATATGTGCAGATTTAACTGAAACATGAGTCACTGGTTTACAAGAATAATAACAGTACCCTCATTTGTGCAGTTTCCTCATAAAGTGGTTACTATATGTTCCTAACACCTTGGCTTAATTGGAAGCTTCTTCATAAATATCAAACCAATGTGAAATGTCCTTGTTTCTCCGCTGACCTCCATCACTATTGTTGCTATCCTCCATGTTTATTTTTACTGGTCTGTGAGGGGTCAACACTGAATGATGATGACAGGTGATGTGCTCATGCACAGCAGAGGAGTGTGAGACCTTAAAAAAAATGACCTGAATTCAGATCTGACCGTTCTGATTGAGGTCTCATAGTCAGAGATCACATATGAATCAGATCTAGGACCACATATGCAAATGATCAGACTCAAAAAGATTGAATTGTCCATACATCTGAGAAAAGAGCAGATCTGAATCACTTGGAGGGGAAAAAATAGAATTTGAGTCACTTCAGCAGGTTATGTGAATGTGGCTTAAGACACAAATGGATTAAATCTAGCCAGTATTTTATATTACTTTTTAGAGACTTGGTGTGGAGAGATTAACACTGTAGCAAATCCTTGCATTCTTCCATGTAAGCCCATGACCAGGAGGTGTAAGCTCTTTGCCTTTCCTGTGTATATATTATACACACACCTTTTGTTATATTATATGAAAATCTACTGCTGATTGTTTTTTACCGTCACATCTGCTGCTGTTGGTCCTTTGCACTACTGTCCATGTACATTTCATCAGCTATTACGCACCTCATCACCAATGCCCCTGGTGATGCTGACCACCTGACAATCTTCTTATTATTTGCACTACTGTCATTGATTGTACATAGCTTTGATATCATAGCCTATTAGGATGTACCGTTTAGTTTTATCCTAATTACTTTAATTTAGTTTTCTTATTCTATTTTTATCCTGCTTTTATTCTATTCTACTTTCTTAAATGATATGGCATTCAACATTAGGTGAGAGAGAAACGGTATTTCGATTTTTCTGTATGTCCTGTACATATAGTGAATTGACAATAAAATCTTTGAACCTTGATAAATATACTTAAGTGAATTATGTCAATTTTGTGTGGCAGTTGTTGGTCGAGCAGTCTGGACAACGCAATGAAGCGGCACACTAAGAAATCAACCAAACACTGGTTCTCTATCTACCAGCTGGTAGAGAGGTATCTAGACGAACAGAGGATGGAGGCCAATACAGGTATATATAGAATGGCTCTAAGCATAGTTATTTTTGACTTAGTTAAACAATTCATTTCTATTGTTGTCATTCCCTGTATGCCTCTGCAGATGGAAATAAATAGCAGTGAAGATTGAAATCAGTTCACTATTACACCATCAGCAGGCCTAAACTGAATCTGCACATGCAGAATTCTGACAACAGAATTTTCCAACCCCCCCCCCAAACTGAACTTTGCATTTCAATGGCCATGTGCCCTTAAATTTTATGCTGGTAGAATTTCCAACAAATGTTTGAGTGTCTGGAAATGTTGAAATTCCTAAATGTAAAGGTTCATATAAAATAATTTATTTCAGCCTGCTCAAGATAATTGATGTTAGCTAACTGAATATTTTCTTTTATAAGCAAAAAAAATCACTCTGTAGTACTCCACAGATTGGTCTTTTCTGTGTTGATGGTTCACATTTATGTTTGAATAACCAAAGATTCCATTTCACAAGGCTGTCAGTCAGCATTTCCACAGTCCAACGTGCTTATAGCAGGAAAAGAATGAAAACACCAAGTAACTAATATTGTTTTCCTGTAACTGACCTCTCCAGGTGAGGAGGTGGCGCGCCTCTCCCTGTCCTCAGTGTCCTCCACCCTCAAGGCCTTCATAGAGGGCTCCACCCTGGGTGAGTTCCACACCCGCCTGGCCATGTTGCTCAGCTTCCATTGCCACCTCCTCCTGGTCCCCAGCCAGCCTGGACAAGGTCAGCCATCACTACTCTATACTGTACAAAGCATACCAGTCTGTCCTATTATAATACTCATATGCCCCTTTTATGCTGAACCAATTATTAATCCTTGTAACCATTTCTCTTGGCTATGAAACAGGTTTTTTTTTTTATTACTGACCAGGGGTCTAAAATGTTGCTCATGAGCTACCGGTAGCTTGCTCCCCAATTCTGAAGAGCTCGGCTAGAGGTTCAGAGAATAAGGATAATCTGAATCTGAAGAATAGAAGAATAGGAAATATGTAGCCTACAATGCATGCATTATAAAACTAAAAATGTTAGACGGCAGAACTTTGCTCAGTAAACCTGCTCCATCCATCCATATTTACAGGTCAAACGAAGGTGCCAGAGTATTTGTTGCTTTTTGGCTGTGAGAGAGACTGCACCATTGATGGGAATGTCATGTTATCTGTTGTCTGTTTTACAGAGTCTTTGTCCAGTCTCCTGTGGAATCTGCACAAATATTACAGTCAGTTCTCTGATTGCATCCAGACCAAGCTCAGTCAACTCAGACAGCCGATCGAGAAGGAGCTTAAAGTATATATATTTATTAGTCATTTTTTCTTTGCAAACCAGTACTTGGAAACCTTATCCATACATGTCAGATAAATCCCCCTCAAATGTTCAGTGCACGCACATTCATTCACTCATTATAGTTCTACAGCAATTGAACCTTTTGCTGTTCTCAGGACTTTGTCAAGATCTGCAGGTGGAATGATGTCAGTTTCTGGTCCATCAAGCAGTCGGTGGAGAAGACACATCGGTAAGACCTTCCCTGGATTTTGCTGTTTGGCAGCTTTATGCTGAACTTTTATTTTTCTGGACTCTTGTTGTTATTTGCGCTACAAGATAGATGACTCCTCTCCCACCTCTTATCTGCTCATCTGCTCTTTTTTTTCATCTCTCTCTCAGGACTCTCTTCAAATTTGTCAGGAAGTTTGAGGAGACTCTGAATGGTCCAAGTATTCTTGTCCTGGTGGAACAGGGAAGCAGCGCCAGTTTGGACAGTGTGAACACCATCCCAGAAGAAACACCCATCCATCGAGTTCACCAGGCACTAAAAAGTGCCATGCCTGGGAAGGGCAGAGATCTGCAGGTACAAGTCTTACAGCACACAGAGTGTAGAAGAATGTTTTTTAACCATTGTTGTTCATTATCTCACCATAAAAAAGAATATTCTTTTTTTAAAGTGTTAAATCCTACATATGACATATGCAGCACTTTATGATAGTAAATAGTGAATGCATAACCTAAGCTAGAGTGTTTATTTCAGAATGAGGACTCTGAGGAAGGAGATGAAGCTTCATCTCTGCAGGGACGTCTGCCTGTTCTGGCCAGGAAGATGAAGAAAATGTGTATCCAGCTCTTGAAGAAACACCCAGTGCCTGAGCTGGCTGAAGACTTGGACTACTTCACTGGTACAAGAGGCAGTTCCACACAGTAAACATCTATCTAACTAAGGTCTAATGGGCACATTGATATATTTTCTGAGCAC